GGCAGTTTTGAGGAATTTTGTGCAAACTCATCGACGCCAAGGGAATACGAGCGCACCAAACCCCTCCACCACACCCGTCACACTCACCTCTCGTACAACGACGGCCGAGTCCTGTTCCAGCCCCTCTCTGCTGCTGCTCGTGCACAGACGATGATGGGCATGTCGAACCCCCCTGCGCACCCCGTCTCACCCATCCACGTCAACAAGGCTCTCCACCAACAAGGACCTCAGGCGCAGCAGATGGGTGTGTTGGGGCATGAACCAGTTTCACCAGTCCCCTATCGTAGGGCCAGACTTGCAGACGAACGAATCGATGCTCTCGCAAATGGCGTCCATGGGGCAGCCCTACTCGTCGGACCAATACGGTGACTCTCAGCTAGAAGAATTATTGAGGAGCGGCATTTCTGGAGTTTGAGCGTTTTGTTGTTGTTGTTTTATATACGATGGTGGCGTGTGTGTATCTGTCTCGTGCTTCGTGTGACGTACTTGGACACTTTTCTCTGTCTGGTCTTTCCCGTCGGGATCCGGATATCCGACTTCATGTATTCTAGTAAATCTGCACTCATATTCCTGACCTCTAGGTCAGGTCTTGTTTGCCAAAATTCGGTGCCTGTTAAGGCACTTTCCTTTGACAACTGAATCGAATTCTGAAAGATTGGGCCGAGGATGAACCGTCCCTCATCTCGACCAAACCTTAGTCGTCATATCAAAATTGTTCTGTGATTATTCTCTCCTGAACATTATTTTCTTAGGGGCCAACTTAATCTTTAATGAGGTGAGACTAGTCTAGGCTGAGAGCCTCTAATCTGCATGCTAAGCTGCCTCTCATCGCACAAATTAGCTTATTTGCGGCCATCAGGCAGGTTTTACACCTTTTCCGATTCAATCGTAGGTGTTGATCATCTATACCACCTGAAATAGATCGGAAAGCTTCCATTATTGAGCTCTTTCCATTGCAAGTGTTGGACCGCTTCACAGAGTCGACACGATAATACTTCGTATAGCGGCGATTATTGGGCTAATGAAAAGGTCAGGATCGCCCGGAGGGCCCTTAGAATATATATATTCCCTCCTCTACTATAAAGCGCGACATACAATATGAAACAAAAGCGTGGGTGAGGACGAGAGAATGAGATTGGTAGAAATGGATACAATGTTTAGGGACAGTTGATGAGACGGATGCGAAACCGGATCGAAGATGGGGTGAGGTAGTGAAGAGTCCAAGGTGATGAAGACGGGAGAAAGGATTAGGCGTGCATGAAGACGGCAAAGGGGCAACGACAAGGACACTCGGCGTGCACAGAGATTCGGGTTATTCGTGGTTCCACAATCTAGCCCTCCACGAATCGACGGCTGAGCGTATACGACTCGTACGACCTGGAGGAGTATACGCTGGGGGAGGCTCGGCAGGGATCACATAGCCATAGCCAGAATGTGTGACGTAAATCATCTGCACGTCGGTGGCAGCCGAGACGGGCGGCTGCATGGATGACCAATTATGCGTCGGGGGAGACGAGCGTGAAGAGGAAAAGAGACGAGTGAAAAATGGATCGTGGTTGTGTTGCCTCATTGTTTGCGTTGGATAGGGCGTGTAGAGGGGGAGTGTCGCGTTCGAGCGCGCTTCCTCACCCACTTGGGCGGCAGTCGTCGTATGGGCGTTGTTGGTCGTATGCGTTGGAGGGCTAGCTCGCGGCGTAGAGCCTCTAGTAAAAATCTGTGTAAATAGAGAGGTGAGTGTGGCGGGTGTGGTGGAGGGGTTTGGTGCGCTCGTATTCCCTTGGCGTCGATGAGTTTGCACAAAATTCCTCAAAACTGCC